CCCCACTACCAACATACCCTTTAATTTTCAGCCCTGTTGGATGGGGCTCAGCGTCTCTCTCTCTCTCATGGCTTCACCCCTGCATGTGTTCATGACTCCACTCCCTGTGCACTGGATTCTGCCCCAACCAGAACCTAATGTGATCCCTGCACGGAGGAGGAAGACAGCTGCACGGAGGGAAGTGCAGTTGTGCATGCAAGTTTGTACACCTAGCTTAGCAGGAAACTTGCCCACTACCAAGTTAGCACTAGATCACCTTGACACATTCGTTTAGCACTGGATCACCTCTGCATGGACAAAAAAAGAGAGATAAAAATACACATAAAATATAAAAACACCTAAGAATTAGAGTAGAGGATACTTTAGTCCAATGGTATGCATTTTTATGTTATGGAGAACCTTGGAAAACTGTCTCTTTTCCCTAACACCATAGAGTGGACCCTCGACTTATGGAATTAATCCATTTTGGAACGGTGGCCGCAAATCGAAAATTCTGTAGGTTGAGGGTTCATTTCCCATAGGAATCAATTGAAAACCATTTAATCCTTTCGAGCCAAAGAAAAAAAATCCCGGACTTCCAAAGCTGCACCTGCTCCCCGTGGGGACAGGAGGCAGAGGGCACCGGGGACAGGAGACAAGAGGGCAGCGGGTGCAGCTTTCTAAGCCCTGAAAGCCGGCAGCGGGCGCGGAAAGGGTGGGAAATTCAAAGCAGCCCCCGCTGACCTCTTGTCTCCTGTCCCTGATGCCCTCTGCCTCCTGTCCACAGGAGGCAGAGGGCACTGGGGACAGGGGACAAGAGGGCAGCAGGGCCTGCTTTTAATTTCCCACCCTTTTCCCCTGCCTTTCATAGGTCGAAGCTCTGGCCGCAAGTTGAATAAAAATTCTGCGGGAGCTTTTCGTACCTTGAAATTTCCATAAGTAGGGAATTTCGTAAGTCGAGGGTCCACTGTACAACATTCTAAAGCAGGGGTCTCAAACTCAATTTACCTGGGGGCCGCTGGAGGCAGAGTCTGGGTGAGGCTGGGCCGCATCAGATTTTCCGCCAAGCGGAGCAAGAGCCTGAGGAAGCCACCCAGGAGTTTCCTTAGCCAGAAGACAGGTGGACTGCCCGGCAGGCTGCAGTTCCGGATTGAGGGAGCAAGAGGCGCTGTCTTGGGGGAGAGCCGGCAAGCGAGGCAAGGCTTTTTTAAAACTCTTGACAGCAGAGGACGCGTGGGTGCTTCGGGGGGGAGGCAAGGCGGGGGCCGCAAACTATCATCTGGCGGGCCGCAAATGGCCCCCGGGCCGCATGTTGGAGACCACTGTTCTAAAGCCAGTGCTTTACAATGAACAATAAAAGGAAAGCCAGGAATCAATAGAGGGGGGCTGTGGTGCACAATGAAATGTACCAGACTGGGAGGCCAGTGTGGAAACAATCTGCGGTCTCTGTGTGATCACCTAATGTGAACAGAAGTGTAAAAGAGGCTGTGAAACAAACAGCAGCAAAACTGAATTGCTCCAATTTGGTTTGCCAGTGTAATCACAGCCCAATCTGTCTGTATTTATATACTACTGCAGTAAGTATTTTTTTAGAACTGTGTTTGTTTAAAACTGGTTGCCTTACCTGCCAACTATAGGCTGCCATTTTAGATTATGAGTGAGAAGGCTCTCTCTGCCAAAAAATCGGCAAGTGAGAAGGGGACAGGATCCAAATATTCAGCCATGCCTGCACATGCTCCTGTTTTCCCTGTAACATGGAGGGAATGAGCAACTAATTTGAACCCTACTGAAACAGCTGCACAGTATAGATATGGACTTTAAATTTTAAGAAGATGCAGACTTGGTGTGGAACTTCTTGGTATTTATGTATGACTACAATATTTTCGGAGGGACGTGGTGGCACTGAGGGTTAAACCGCAGAAGCCTCTGTGCTGCAAGGTCAGAAGACCAGCAGTTGCAAGATCAAATCCATGCGACAGAGTGAGCTCCCGTTGCTTGTTCCAGGTCCTGCCAACCTAGCAGTTTGAAAGCATGTAAACGTGAGTAGATAAAAAGGTACCACCACGGTGGGAAGGTAATGGCATTCCATGTATAGTTGCGCTGGCCACATGCCAACGGAAACTGTCTATGGACAAACGCTGGCTCTACGGCTTGGAGACGGGGATGAGCACTGCGCCCTAGAGTCGGACACGACTGGACTAAATGTCAAGGGGAACCTTTACTTTACAATATTTTCACATGCTTTAATATATGACGGAATCTACTATGAGCATTTCTTGAAAAAGTGCCATAGAAAGCCGCATATCTACTGACACATTGTTGCTTATGAATGGTTATCTTGAATAAATTGCTTGAAATTCAGAGTAACTGGAACTGGTTTAATCCAATCAGAGGCCTGAAATTTAGCTTAACTCAAACAGATTCAAGATAATGGGGCTCAGAGCACCGAGTTTATGAGTGCTAGATTTTGCCTAACTGTCATTTTATTACATTTTCAGATTCTACAACATAACATGTTTAAACAGAGATGTGAAGGCCTGAAAAACTTTTTAAAAGGTGTCTCCTTGCCGTCCCGGAGTTTTTAAAATATTATTATTAAATAATACTTCATAATGCAGAAATAAATAAAAGCTTTTAATATAACATGTTACTAAGCTCCACAAATGATTTCTGAGGAGGTTCAGAATTTTATCTTGGAAATAAACTTTTAATTGTTTCAGAGGACATAATATCTTTAGGTATTTTGTCCAGGAATACCACCTACGATTCTACTAAACAGATCCGTCCTCTAGCATGGCAAAGCAAAAACCAAAGCGTGCTACTCATATACCACCCCACAGAGCTTAAAGCACTCTCTAGGCGGTTTACAAGTTAATTAGCAGGCTACACAACCTTTGCCTTCTCTTTGTCTTCCTCTTGCTTCACGTTAAACTAGTATTCTTGCATTTTATGGGGAAATCCCCATAGATGTTAGGGTCTTTTTTTTTTAGGAATCAGTGGCTTGTAGTACCATTTTAAATTGTTAGTTTTAAAATCTAGTAATTTTATAATTATTGTTTGGATGTATATTTTAATGTAATATAAAACAACAGTAATTTTATGGGCCAACCAGTACATATAAAATACATTTTATGTTCCCTGCATTAATGACTTTAATAAATGAATAATATTAAAAATAGGTATTGCATATTTTTTCAGTGGCCCTCTCAACTGTCTTTTCCCTGCAAAATAAAAACAACAAAAGAGTCCCTTGCCCCCGCCGGTCCTTTAACTTTTCCAGAAACTTTATACAGTATCTCAGTAGCTGGAATCCAGCAGCAGGACTTAAGCTGTGTAAGGCTGATGATGTCAGCAAACACAGCCGTGTTCCAGGAATTAAGAAGTTCCAATTTCCCCTGAAGGTCTTCCTTCCTTAGGATCCCTTTTGTTGCAGAGCAATCATTGGGGGCCAAAGGACAGGGATAATTTTATCAGTAGCAATAATTTTATTAAAGACTTCTGTTGCCTCCAATGGCTTTCCCACAAACACAGGGTCCTATAAGTGCTTTTGGACCTTTGGAGGTGGGCAGAATTGGAAAGTTTTAACTTCTCACAAAATCCACATAACTGATGACATCATCAGCCTTATCTGGCATGTTACACTGCTGGATTTCAGCCTAGGTTTATTAAAATTCACTTTGTAGTCAGGTTCATCATACTGTTTTAAGAAGGAAGAAAGGGAAATAGATCAGAGCTATCCAAAGCTGTCAAAACTGCTAAACTGACAAAGATGCTGGAAACAAATGCCAAGCCCTGTTATGATCAATATTTTAATTTCTGATACTGTATTAAAGGTTTGCTTGACATCCTCTGTTAAAAGAATATTTCTATTAGGAACAGGGGATGTGGGTTAGACATAAAATAGCTCCCAGCTGCAAGAGACCTTGTTCCAGATGTACAGTACGCAAAGGCAACAGAGGAGAACCAGCTGCTGGGATAACAAATTGAAAAGGTTTCTTTGACACAGGCCGTGTTGGCCTATTTGATCAAACAAAGACAGCTCATTCATGGCAAGGTGGATAAAATGCTAGAAGATGATGCAAAACAGTAACAATCTGCACGATTTCCCAGCTCTCAGGCAAAGCAACTGACAATTTTAGTTGTGCCAGAAGGAAGCATACAACCCTGCTATAACACTAGAAAAGAAAATTTAAGAGCCAGCATAATAAAATAGGTTGCAATCCAACTCATAGCAGATCTTAAGCCTCTCTCTCAAAGACAAAAAAACTCTTGCAGAAGTGTTTACTGTTCCATCCCCTATTTTCCATAGTATGATCTCAGACATGCCTAGGATTATTTTGAAGCTTTTGTTATCACTAACTTTAGTGTGGCTTCTAAATTGTATAGGCCTTTATTTGCACTCTTATTAAATTGTACTATTTAGGAGAGTGTATAGGCAGTTTAGATTTTGCGTGCCTCATTTAGAATATCAAATTTAAGGACAAGGTATTTAATAAATAAACTCCACTTAAATCAAGTTATCTTTCTCATTAAGTGATCAAGGTAATGCATCTTTAGGGGCACTGGAATATGGGTCAGATTATTTTTCTTTTAGTTGTACCCAACATAGGCAGTAGATCCTAAGAACTGTCATAGTGGTGAGTAAGGGCTAGGAATAATATCCAGCTGCCACTACTTATCCTGGTCAGTTAAAACAAACAAACAACAATCAAGGAGTATTGGTAGCAGCAAGATACAGCCGGATATTATTCTTATTTAGACAGGTAGCAGTCAAATTATTTTCACTATTGAAAGATGATCTGCCAACATAGGTGAGAGAGAAAACAATTCCACCTGTAGGCTTGTTGAAAGTTGATACACTTATTTGCTCAAAGAAAAATGTGAACATTAATTTTAAAATAAGGCTGATCAAAAGTGTATACTAAAAACAATTATTTTGTTAATTCACCAAAACAGAGAAAAAAAGTTGCATTTTTCTTTTAAGTTCAAGCAGGTACTTTTCCAAGCAGAAATATACTTACCTCTCTGTTCTTTAACATAGCTTTCTTTACAGTTGTGCATAAGCTGCAGAATCCATTTGTGCTGGGCACCTATACATTGCCAAGCTGGGTCCCCCTCTGCATGAAGATCAGAAAGATATCTGTAAAGTGATAATATTGAAGAAATGAGGGTTCAGATGTGACACTATCCCACAAGTGCTTGTGAATTGCCACTATTAGTAATACCATTGTTCTTGTTTGTTTTCAACAAATTCTTAATCAGCTGCAGAGGCTAGATCTCTTGAGGTGCTTCAAGGTATATATAAAAGGGGGAAATCAAAAAAGTTAAATGGAAATAATTAAGAGTTAGCCACATTGGTCTGTTATAGCAAAAACAGTTTGTCCTAAAGCCTAGCAACTGTAAGACAGAATCTTGTAACACCTTTAAAACTAAGAAGTTTTTTATGACAGCAAATTTTATAGACAGTGATTCACTTGACGTTAAAACAGGAAATATCTAGCAATGGAGATATAACAGGATTATGGTGATTCCACTTGATTTTTTTATTTTGCTAGACTGTGGTATTGTGGGCTCATACTTTTTGCCTCACAATATTTTAAATACTTATTTTGTTCTGGTGCCACTGGACTCTACAATAGCCTACAAAAGTGAGGACAGCCAACTATAAACATTTATTTTTTCATTTATATCTTGCCTGCTGTCAGCAGAACTCACAGAGAAACATAAGATTCCTATGAGTTTTTCCATCTATAACTTGCAAAGATGCTGCATTAATGTGCCTCAGCCCAATCTATGAGATAAAAACTAATAATATCCTCATTACAAATGCACAGTAATACTAAATGGGAGGGCCTATAAAATCCTGGTAACATACCAAACCGAATTGTTTTAAGTCTCATTAAGTCCCCACTCAGCATACGGACAGTGAGAAGCTTGGCAGTAATGTAAACAGAGGGATATAGTTAAGCCAGCACAAATTTCTTTAATGTTGGCAAGTACTCAAGATTTCTATCCTTTCACTAAAAAGCTGAAAAGGCAACAAACTAATCTATCCAATCCCTTAAAAGAGGGAGATAAAGAGACACAGTTTTTCAATAAGTTGCACTTCTTGTTAGTATCCAGATTTTTAGGGTGCAACTCCTCCCACTGTACGTCTTGCCTTGCTGCAGCTTTCCACTTAGGTGAACATTGCCTGTTCAGTTCTCCTATACCCCTAAGGGAAAAACAGAAAGAAGCCACAGAAACTTTCTTTAAGCTCTTGGATCAGCTTCAGCTGCCAAAGAAACGTAAGCTGGTAGAATATATTTGGCGACAGAACATTTACTCATTATCTGTCTTCACAGCCTGAGGTTAGAGAAAAAGGATGTATGCAAGACTCTCATTCAGCTGTTTATTGAAGCCAATTCATGATTTGTAATGGAAAAGCATGCACACTTCCCTCTACCATCTTCCTAACATAACGTGATGAAAACACCTGCACGTTAAAAGGCCCAAAGGCTCTTATTAAGGAACAAAAAACACACTGTTTGGATACCTGCGAAACACATTGGCTAACACCCCATTGCTTACTGTAGTATGTCACACTAGAGTAGGCTCATTGAATCAGTGGGGATTAGGTGATTCAACTTCTCTGCAAGTTCCACTGATTCAAATGGGCCTACTCTAATCGTGACTCACTTTTGTATAATAAATTTCAGCTACTAACATGGCAGCTTCTTTCAAAACCAAGCTCATCACTCTCTGGAATTGATTATCACCTGCTAACTGGAGCACCTCAGTCTGCAATCCTAGCTTAATTTAATAACAAATCAAAAAGCACTTGTTCCCTTTGGGGATGGGGCCATTTCTTATTCCTGTCCACTGTGAGAACTATTCATTTATCCCTACCTGTTTCTGTTCTTTAGGTAAAGGTTCCCCTTGACATTTAGTCCAGTCATGTCTGACTCTAGAGAGAGGTGCTCATCCCCAGTTCCAGGCTGTAGAGCCAGCGTTTGTCTGTAGACAGTTTCCGTGGTCACGTGGCCAGTGTGACTAGACACAGAATGCTGTTATCTTCCCACCGTTGTGGTACCTATTTATCTACTCGCATTTTTACATGCTTTCGAACTGCTAGGTTGGCAGGTGCTGGGACAAGCGACGGAAGCTCACTCTGTCCCATGGGTTCAATCTTCCGACTGCTGGTCTTCTGACCTTGCAGAACAGAGGCTTCTGCAGTTTAACCCGCAGCGCCACCACGTCCCTTGTTTCTGTTCTTTACCCACTTACCAAATCACAACATGATCTGTCCTTTTGTTCCCTGAGTGCTGTTTACTCATGAGATGTTAGCAAGAGAATTTAAGAACTTTTTGAAAATCCTAATATACAAGGTCTGCTGAATAAACAGTATACTGCTGAATTCAGCTATATACTTACCTTCTAATCTAAAAGCTTAAAATATTAAGTCTTAGCTTTGAAGAAGCTATTCGGATTTTTCCACAACAGGATCTGTTCTTTTATATGCTTGTGAATGCTATCTTTAGTATTGCCTTTCATCATTTTACCCAAGAACAGACGTTAGCCTGTAATTTCCTGAACGTCTGAGTTGCAGAACAAGGAGATGACAGACATAACTTGACAAATATGGATCCTCAACTGCTGCAAAGACAAGATGCCCACAGCATCTTCTCACAGTGATTGAAAGCAGCACTCAGGCTGGAACAAGGCCAGAAGGAGAGAGAGAGAGAAATGGCAAGCTCCACTAGACCCACTGAATTGCTTCATCTACCGTGTTTCCCCGAAAATAAGACTTTTGCTCCAAAAATACATTAGGGCTTATTTTTAGGGAATGTTTTATTTCTTTCATGTACAACCATCTACATTTATTCAAATACAGTCATGTCATCTTCTTCTGGTTGCTGCACAATGGTGTGTGGGGGGGTAGGGTTTCACTCACTGTATTTTCCATGTATAATACACCCCCCTTTTCTAATCCAAAATTAAGAAATGTAAGTGGGGCTTAGCAAGTGTAGGGGGAAAGGGATCGAAGCGCTGCAGTACCGCTTTGATCCCTGCTTTCCCATCCACTTGTTTTTGTTCTTTTTCAGCTTACTTCCGTGTATAAGACGACCCTCAATTTTTACTCTAAAGATTTTAGACAAAAGTATAGTCTTTTACACGGAAAAAATATGGTAAATGGGGCTTATTTTGGGGGTAAGGCTTTTATTATGAGCATCCTAAAAATCATACTAGGGTTTATTTTCAGGTTAGGTCTTATCTTTGGGGAAACAGGGTACTGAGAAGCACCTTTTGACTGCTACAGGCACAAAACTTTATGCCGTTAGTAATGCAATAAAGCTCTTACTTTATACAAAATGAGTCGCAACATAAGCAGGATACACCTCAACTCTCTGTTGTGCTCTCAGTAAAATGGTATCAGAACCAGTTTAAGAAACAGAATCGAATGGCACCTTTTTTAGACTTACCTAAGCCATTAATGTGAACTTGATTATTCATGTTTCATGCAAGACACTGAATAAGTAGAATATCTAGCAGGATAAAAATTTACCTTATATAGCGCTTTTGGTCATGCAACGTTGATGGAGTCTCAAGCAATTTATCCAGGAGTAGATTACGTAAGGCTTCAACTCGTATTTCAACTTCAGCATAATCTATATATGGTTTTTTTTTAAAAAAAAAAAAAACAACTCAGAGAAGCTGGAATTTGTCACATGCAATCTAAATCTTTTGATTTGTATTATCACCAGCGTATGCTACAGCTACTACAAGACTAAATGACAATTTTTAGAATGAGAAATATGTGACTTACAGTACAAAAATCATATAAAATATACAGCAAAACAAAGAATTATAGAAAAATAATTTTAGGATTCCAAACCTTATCCTTGAATTCAGGCTTAATTTTAATTTTTGCCTGAAATGGGTTGTACTAAAATAACTCTGCAAACCTATAAGCTATAGTTCTAGAACCTGGTTTCTAAACAAATACACTCCCAAAGTGCATTCCTGTTTTCATGTCGCTTATTATAAAAAGGACTGACTTCAACTCTTGCTGTATATGGTACACAAGAGAGTATATTTTGATATAGAAATCTAGTCAGAAATATTGTTTAAATATTCCTGATATTGCAAAATGATCCAAATAAACATAAGATACAACTCACATAGGGACCAGGAGTTTGCTTTGTATGCTTAGTCTTCCTATTTAAAACTAGGAAAAACTAACAAAATTCAAAACTCACATTTTTTGAATACTTGAACCTCAGTCTTCCCAAATAATGATTTCGCTTTTTCATAATCATTAATGACTACATCATAATCTCCCTTTTAAAAAAAACCAAGAGATTAGTCTTAAGCAATATATTCTACTTAGAGGGGAAACAAAACACAGGTACATTTTATTTTAAAATATAAAATACCTTTTGAATATTTCTTTCAATATTCAACGGAAGATTGAAAAGAAATTTGAAGCGCTGGAGGACATTGAGGGCATTTCTTGTTGAATCTGCCTTGTCTTTGCGACCCAAAACTTCTTGAAACAAGGTATCTGCAGTATTACTCGCTCCTTTTTTGAAAAAACGAAAGGGAACAAACAAAATAATAAGGTGCATATGATGGAGTAGAATAATTAGCACTAAATATAATTAATACATTTATCATGATTACACTAGTGTCTAGTTAAAGCTACTTCAATACAGATGTGTCTATTAAATGTGTACTAGAAACTTTTAACAAACACACAGAAAAAAATTTTAGTGCTAATTTCTTAAGTGTTTTTATGTGGTGGAAACCACAGAACAATTAAAGCAACTTTCATTTCCAGACCAAATGCCTTAACTTAATTGTGGTGACTTTAGGGTTTGCTTTGGCTACAAAGCTGAATTTTACAGTTCCAGCTATGCCTTGTAAGCAATTTGATTAGTATGGACGTATTTCCTTCAGTGTGACATAATACATTAGAATGAACATGAATTTTAATACCAGTGATAACAGCAGCATAAATTAAAAGTTGTTCTTTTGTGAGAAAAATCTTTTAAAATCAAAATGACAAGTTACTAGCCAGACTATCAGCTCTGAGTCTATTCCAGATACAATCCTATTCCTACTATTTTGGAGAACACTGACTGGTTTCAGTGCATCCAGAATTAGTACTAAGAACAGTTTTAATTGACTTAAGAATTTATGTGTGGAAATGTTATAAGAACTTGTTCAGATCCTTGCTTGTTATATTTAGAATTATCCACTGTACTTCTTATGATGAAATATAATAAAACATATTTTAGAATGACAAAAATACCTTTGCCTCTTTCACTCCTAATAAACATGATGTAGAAGACTAGTCAAACATTTTACTCTCTCCATTTCAATTTTGAGACTTATCTTTAATTTACCAGAAAAAGGTGAATGTTTCAGTCCTTTTGATAGCTGCTTGTAAAAAAAAAAATCTACATTATCTGGTCTAGTGACTATAATTTAAGCAAAGATGAAAAAATTACATCAGTCTCACTGGGTGGCTTACATGCCATTTTCTCTCGTCAACACTGTGGGTGGCCTGCTCATGTTAAAAGTAGCCTTTGTAAAATAATTGTTATATCTAAATAATGTTTAAACACTGTTGGAAGTTTCAAGCCCCTGATGCAAGATGTTTTGTTTTGTCAGAAGACTTGGTTCTACTCTATTTTATAGTTGTTGGAGTGAGGACTACATCCCACAATTATCTGATGTTTCAAAGCTGATATTATTGGTAAACTTCTGTCCTTCCAAAATATTACAATATCTTCACTGACTCGGGTTTGTGATTTTTTAAAAGTTAAGGATATGAGCCCTCAAAGGAAGGCATACTGAGCCAAATTAAAATGATCCTATTCAATATGTGCCTTTGAAATGCATGTGATAAAACACAGAAGCAAGATAGCATTATTTATTGTACTGTTTCAAGCTGATCAAAATTTGAGAGAGAAATAGTTATAGCCAGCTCAGATGGACCTGCTTGTACTTTAGTTATTTTACAGTGGATTTTACAGTGGTACTTTTAAAACACAGATCAGCACAGTCAAGAGAACTCGAGTTCATTACTAAATTCAAAAGAAGCATTTCATTGCATATTTTTACAAGCATTTCAACTGTAATTTGAATGTCGCTACTTTTAATTGGCTTGTGTGTCATTTTATCAGCAAAAAACCAGGATAAATATTCTTTAAAATGATTGAGGCAAAGTCAAGAAGCTTGAACAGCATCATCACATCAGAAGTAACCTCCTTCTAGCTGTTACAAAAACTGAATAGAATTTTTTTGCTCAGAACCTACTTTTGCTAAGAAGCTCTTCTAAAATAGCACATCATTTCTGATTAGAGAAAATGGCACAAGAAAATTAACAAGAAACAAAACGTTTTACATAATTTTATATATGACATCACATATACGGAGAGAGAGCATGCACATTAATCTTGACAGGTGGTCAAACGTTTTTTTATTTTTTAAAACACTAGAGCTTATTTAAACATTCTTTTCATTATAACATTTAGGATTACTGACATCAGATATTAGAATTAGTGGAGTCTCACAACTGATATATTTTTCCTATTGTGAAAGCTGGTGAATTCCATTTTAAATTAGAAATTGACATTGGTTATTGTGGGTTTTTCGGGCTCTTTTGCCATGTTCTGAAGGTTGTTCTTCCTAACGTTTTGCCAGTCTCTGTGGCCGGCATCTTCAGAGGACTGGAGTTAGAACTCTGCCCGTGAGCCTGTCCTCTGAAGATGCCGGCCACAGAGACTGGCAAAACGTTAGGAAGAACAACCTTCAGAACATGGCAAAAGAGCCCGAAAAACCCACAATAACCAATGTCAATTTTATTCCCAAATGTTTTGACTCTGAAAAACAGATATTTTGGTAAGTGCTTTGTACCAAACACTGTGTACAAGAAAACAGAAATCCAGCAGAGCAAACTATAAATACAGCAAAAGAACTGGTAAGTATGGCTGTTCAAAGCTAATATTTTCACAAACAGTGGTAAGATCAAGTGAAAAACTGTGTTGTTCACTGTCCTTTAATCTCCTCACCCCCAAAACTCAAACAAAGGAAAAGAAAATTTTCATGTCACATTTTTTGACCTTACAGATTAATGTGATACAATTCGGTGCTTACATCAGTAAGGGAAATATTATAAGTTTTGTAAGTGCAATGAAATAAAATAATTCTTTCAGAAGCCCAAGAATTTACCTATATAAAATAATATAATGCAAACAGTGAGCAAAAAGGGACAATTATTATAACTGTTACATTGCTGCCACAACAAATTGCTTCTGCATAATTTTATGGACGATACAGAATCACTTGAAAAAAAATCTAATTTCTAAGAGAAATATGAAAGCCACCCAGTCACTTATTTAGAAAGCAGCATAAAGAGCTTAAGAAACTGTACCAATTTTACTTCCTTAATTATAAATGGTATTATTTTAACAGCATGATTTAGTTTGATCTAAAATAATAAATTGGGTTTTTTTCTGATTTCAAAAATTAATTCTTCTCCAATTGTACTCTTCTTTTATTTACTAAAAGTATCTATTAATTTTCCCACCCACTACTGTATTTTTTTAAAAGACCACAATACTTTAATTCATATGGAGTTAAAAGTAAAATTAAAGTTAAAGACCCTACTAAAAACTGGAAAAGTGAGGGCTGGCAATATGGAACAGTATATACTATTATGATGTGACTCCGTTTTCCTGGACAACTCATTGGTGTCATCCAGAGAACACAAAATCTCTAGACTCACTAGGTATGTGTTGCATGAAGCTCCTCTAAAATATCTGATTCAGCTTAATAAGAAATATCAAGTACTATCATTATAAGCACTGAAGGACATTAATCTTTCCCATATATAACAAGAAACAATTGTTTGGATCTAGACTGACCATTTCATGTGTACATAAAATACACCCAAATCCGTTACTACCCTCGTCCTGTGAAATGAGGATGCAGCAAGATGATCTCTTAGATTTCCCCTTCCTTCTGCAGACCCCTGCATTGTCTCTCTCCTGGTGCCTCCAAGAATGCTCCAACCTCCAGAGCAGCTTTTCAGGAAGCAAAGGTGAAGGAAGAATCATGAATATTGCCTCCTCCCAACTTTCCTCGAGTGCCAATGGAATATTTCTAAGCAGTACTCTCTATCTCAACTGTTAGTCTGGAAAGTGAGAACCCACAGGGGAACTGGGAGACATTTCTAGACATGCTGAAGAGAAGGATGCTTTCATCCATTTTCTTTCCTGCCTGCAACTGCCTAAACTCTGGTTCAAAGTGTTGGAGTCACATATCCCAAAACAGAAGTGCTGCAGAACCAACAGAAAAAAAGCAATTTTTTTTTGTTTATGGGTGATTTCAGCTCCTGCAGCAGGACAATTCAATCCAAGTCTCTCTACTGAATTTGAATGGGGCAAAGAATTAACTGTAAAAAGAGAACCACTTCCTTAAAATATATAATCAGTCAACAATGCCAACATCTCTGCCTGCAAACCTCTCCTAGTATTTTCAGATACAGCACTTCAAAATAAACAAATGGCCTTATTTGATATAACCCTCTTATTTGAAAAATGCTAAAATGTTCTTAAACACCGTATTTTTTGCTCCATAAGACGCACCTGACCTTAAGACACACCTAATTTTTAGAGGAGGAACACAGGGAAAATATATTCTGAACCAAATAGTGTAATAAAATATTTAATAAACTATAACAGAATAACATTTGAACCATGTAAAGTGAACAGCAGTCAACAGTGCCATTAATACAGACCATTATCAGCCAGTGATAAGACCTACACCACTCTACCTATATTTTACATTTCCTTTCCTCCACCTCCTCCCCATGCTTATAGAAATGTCTCAATGACAGATGAGATTGTTGTGCAACTCTGCCCAGCTACAGCTCAAGCCTATATTAAGTTAGAAATTGTTTGTCTGATTTG